TCGAGCATGTCTCTGGTCGTCACGGTATACATGGAAACCACCTTCCTTTCAAGAATGTTTCAGACCACTCCCCAGAATCAACAACACCATTGTTATTAATATTAACCAATGACGCGACTGCATAGAAACCACACGGTGGTGACGTCATTTTGTATTTTAGTTGAAAATTCTATTGAACGTGGCAGTAGTTATCGTTCTCAGATTAAAAACAGTATCCAAACACTGCCCCAACTGAGCACTTTTATGTCGGCTGTTATACTATACCTTCATGGAGGATTTATATCAAAACGGTCATTGTTGACTTAGTATGTTAGGTATGAAAATATTAATAATAAATTATGATAATAAAAAAACTATAAATTTACATGCATCAGTTCTATTTATATTCTTTTGAAAAACAATGAGCGAGGATACTGTGAAATCGCCTTTCTGTTTTCCCATATATTGGTATGGTTAAATATAACAGCTTTCGGAAACAAATGTCATAATCGTTCACTGGCCCGTGAACGGGACAGGGGTATTGATACGTTTGGTGGCGTACACGTTTGACATTTTGTTGTGGTGCCACAGGCGTTATTAATATATTTATAATATGCATATTCATTTAAATTTAAAATAATGCTGGTGGGTCGCCCATTAGTCACATATGGGGCCAGTATTGTCGATAACAACCTGTTGACGGATGCCATTACAGGATATTCGTCACACTGCATATTGCTGATAACTGGCAATATTATTTATTTGACCAGAGTCTTCTTAACCCTCTTCCCGCCTAGATTCAACATTTTTATTAACATGTCATCAAAAAGTTAATGATACATTTATGTCTTTGCAGAGCAAACCGGCTACGTCCAATCAGAATAGGCGGTGACTTCGCAGGGAGGTGAGCGCCAGTTATCGCCATTTGGGAACAATTTCGTCTTCAATCGTTATACCACTGTGTGCTATTCCCCGTCGTGTGTATCGAGAGAGCCGGCGATATGGATCTAGGTACTTTACTATCGATGGTCGGCAGTCTAGGTCAGTATGGAAAGACTATGTTCCGTTACAAAGGGTTGCCTCTACCAATAACGATCGACTCGAAACTTATGGACAAAATAGAAAATTTCACTACCCGGAGTGATGACGTATTTATTGTCGGCTTTCCAAAATCGGGTACTACTTGGTTGCAGATAGCGCTATCTAAGATGTACAATAACTGGGGAACGTGTAAGCGAAGCAAAAAAGGGCGCGTTCCTCTGTTAGACTCGCCGTCTCTACCCGGTGTTGAAGGCTTCGACAAGTGCCTGAAAGCAGCCTCACCTCGTCTCATCAAGAGTCACTTACCGTTTGACTATTTTCCCAAGCATGCTAAATCGGACGACAAGGAGAAGAGATGTAAAGTCATTTACGTGACTCGCAACCCTAAAGATAGTTGTGTCTCTCTTTTTCACATGATCTGCGGTTACCAGGTTCTGCAGTCGGACGACCGTGCGTGGAACAAATTTACACGGGATTTCATCGATGGGGAAGTGGTATACGGATCGTGGCTGGACCACGTGATCAGCTGGAGGGATAACCGAGACAGAGTTGACGTCATGTTTGTTACCTACGAACAAATGAAAGCAGACTTCCAGACCGTGCTCTCAACAGTAGCCGAATTCATAAACAGACCCGTAGACGACGAAACAATCGAAAAGGTGACCGAATCGTGCGAGTTCGAAGAACTTCGACAACATGGTAAGGATAAAGTTGCGATACCGAAGGTATTCTACGACTCAAAGAAGGCTCCCTTCTTCAGGAAGGGGATCGTCGGTGACTGGAAAAATCATTTTACTCAGGAGCAGAACGACGCCTTTGAAGAGAGAATCGAAAAGGTCCTGAAAAGCAAAGGCGTGCACCTTGTTTACGAAATATAGCATCACAGAGTGACGTATTAAGCATTACATGAGTACTCGAATTTACAACTGAAATAATGTAATTTATAATTATATTCATAAAAAAAACGAGGCAGTTATATGTCTTTGTAAATAACTGTTTTTACCAAAGTTGTATAATTCAGACAACTACGCATATTGGCCGTTACAAGTGATTCAGAAATTAATTTTATTAACAGACAATGATTACTATATATATACACAAATGGCTAAATGTGTAGCCGTTATAGTGTTTGCGTGAGGTCGGTACAGTTGCGGTCATGTGTATATCGTAAATGAACATACGGTGATCTTTTATTAACCATAGTATTATCGCCGGGACAGAATAATTGACTGTGACTGGGAATACGGCAGAATCAGCTTACCAGCATTCAGTTAAGGTTGTACAAAAGTATATTTTTAAAAAACAAACAAGTGGCGCTCGTATAAAGAAGCCTCAAGGGTGGGGGAAAACATCGAATTGTTATGTCATGGGTTACATGACTAATAAGAGCACGAATTGGTGGTGGTATTGGAACGCAGGCGGCGAACTTGGGCGAAGCTCAGCATATCCTGTGATAGGCCTTCGATGGGCGTATGACCCCTCGTAAACACGTTTTCTGATACTATGATCGTTGAGTGAGCACTGAATTATGACAGATTGAGAAAATTTTTATAATACACCCGTTATCAGTTATATTTATACACCAGGTCAAAGGTTACAAACTGTCAAAGTCTGACAAGGTTATATTAATAAATGGATATTTGTATCAATAAAAAAAAACGGAATTCTAATCATATCACAAAGACCAGCCATGATTCCATTTTGTAAAACATGACGTTTATACACAAATTATGCATGGCGTTAATATTGTTGCAGCAGTTTTAAAGGACGCTGTTTGTCACGCCGCGTCCTGTTTGTTATGAGACTCTTAGCGACGAACACAACGCGTTTAAAATTCTTTGTTATATGAAATTAATGTGTTGCCTACAGTGGTATGTTCAAACGTTTAGGTAAAATGTCATCGGTATTTATTTATAGTTGCATTATTAATGAATATTTTCGACAGCAAATGAT